GTTCCCTAGCTGCATGGGCTACATCTGTGTAGGGGTTCTAGGTTATCTCTATGCATGGTCCTTGGTTAGAGAATCAGTCTCACAAAAGACCCCTGTGCCTAGATGTTTTGGTTCTGTTTTTCTCCTAGTAGAGCTCCTGTTCCCTCCAGGTCTTTCTATCTCCCCCTTCTTTCATACGATTCCCCACACTCTGCCCAAAGTCTGGCTATGAGTCTCAGCATCTGCTTTGATACCCTGCTGGGTAGAGTCTTTCAGAGGCCCTCTGCAGTAGGCTCCTGTCCTGTTCCCTGTTTTCTCTCTCTTCCTATATCTGTCCCTTTTGCCTTTCTAAATGAAGACTGAGCACTAACGACTTTTGTGTTGCTAAGTCCAGTGGTTATGTCTGTGCTGATTTCAGTTCACCTTCCCCGGGGGTTGGACTCATACCTTGCTTCTTAAAATAGTCTTCATTTTTTTCCTCCATGACTTCTGTGATACTGTGTAGTTTGGAAAGCCTTAGACACAGACTTCTGAAATTTATGAAGGTGCTTCTCTTGAGGGAACATATATAAGGGAGGGGACTGGACTGCCAAGGCCAGGAAGAGCCCAGGCAAAGATGTGTGGTAACAATGAATTACACTAGTAACACAAAACTTACTCAGCTGCAGACTCTGCATTAAATCTTTCTCCTCAAGGTGCTAGCGGAATATATTTTAACTCCACCTTTAGAATAAACTGTCTAAGGTAGCACATATACTTAAAAAAAATTCTCAGGTGAAAATATATATGGAGACAAATCTTTTACTAAGAATAGTTAAAATATGAAATTTCATTGCCATTTACAAACATGTACAAATAAGTATATATCAAGTTAAAGATTAAAAATTGAGGGATGGACAGATGGTTCCACAGTTAAGAGTACAGGTAAGAGCACACTGCTCTTTCAAAGGACCCAGATTCAATTAAAGCACTTCGATGGTGACCCACAACCATCCTTAACCACAGTTCTAGGGGATCCAACACCCTTCTCAGTCTTCTTTGTCCACAGAGCACAGATATTTGTTCAGGCACAATAGCCATACACACAAAACACAATTAAAAATATTAAAATAGACCCTTTTCATATAGTATCTTTTGGTTACAGTTTTCTCTACCTTTACTCCTCCCATCTGTTATCCACACCCTCTGTTTCTCATTAGAAAACAAGTAGGCATCTAAGAGATAATAATAGCAAAGAATAGAATAGGATAAAATAGAATAGGAAAAAGAAAATATTTTTAAAGTTTATAAAGAAACTTTATTGTGAAACTCTGTGCATTTCTCTCTATTTATTTGCATCATTAAAGGTAAAAGGACGTAATCAGAATGAAGAGGCAGCTTGCTTAATAGAAAAATTATTCACTAACAATGTGATTCAAAAGGTCTGTAACAAACATGTGGCATATGTAAATTATAAATTGCCTAAATTGGCCAATTTCTTTTAACTGGCTAATTCCTAGACATGTTAGTCCTACCAAATTAATCCAAGGAAAATAAATAAATCCACAACACGCTATGAGCTAGAAGCCGAAATAAGTAGACTCACTGCCGAATTCTACAACACTTAAGAAGACCTAACACTGATGCTCCTCAAACTGTTCCATAAAGCAGAAGGGAAAGAAGTTCTAGGAAACTTTTTTTTTAATGTTTAAAATTATCTTTTATTACTATATTCATACATGAATAGAATACATGTAGAACATATATATTAATGAATTAATCAGTTCTGTCTCAAGCAATATCTAATCTTCTGTTTGCTGATTGGGAATTTTTTCTTTTTTTTATTATTAGTTACATTTTATTAACTCTGCATCCCAGCTGTATCCTGCTCTCTCATTCCCTCCCAAACCCTCCCTCCCTCATCTCCTCCCTGCCCCTTTCCAAGTCCACTGATTGGGGAGGACCTCCTCCTCCCCTTTCATCTGATCCTGTTTTATCAGGTATCTTCAGGACTGGCTGCAAAGTCCTCCTCTGTGGCCTAGCAGGACTGCTCCTCCCTTGGGGGGTGGGGAGGTCAAAGAGCTTGCCATTGAATTCCTTTCAGAGATAGTCCCTGTTCCCCTTACTATGGAAAACCATGAAGTCCATCCTACCCTGATAACCAAATTGGGTTAAGTATACATAAAACTATATACCAATTTCCCTGAAAACCATTGATGCAAATATTCTCAATAATATTCTTGCAACTTGTACTCATGAACACATTCAAAAGATTATTCAATGCAGACAAGTCGGTTTTAACTCAGGGATGCAAAATTGGTTCAGAAATTACCCAAACCAATAAACACACACAGTGTTGGTATAATGTTCTTGTGGAATGCATACAATTTACCCCTGTTCATTCAAATGTTGATTTCTCTACACAACTACCTGATTTCAATTGGGACATTGCATTATGATGCTTATTCTAAACATCACCTGTCTCAAGTTTGTGTAAACATGCTACCATTTCTTCTCTGTATTGCCAATAAAAACAACCAGCCAATGTTGAGTAATGAAGAGAATAGGGCAGGGCATCCTAGTCTGGAGGGGAGGAGAAAAAAGAGGAGTAAGAGGAGAGATCTGAGAGGAGAGGACCTGGAAACATCAGGAGAAATGAACCCGACCTAAGATATGACTAAAACGGAAGTATAATGTGGGAAATCTGAATGGGAGGAAGCTACATAGGCTTGGAGGTTTAGGATGGTGTAATTACTGCCCAGAATTGTGCTCTAGGTTAAATAAATTCTAGTCCCTGTATGGTAATTTGGGTATACAGCTGGTTTATAAATAACCACTATTTGACTAAAAGGTATATCAATATTAAATATTAATAATCATCAATGGTATAGAAATCATATGACCATATCAGGAGATGCAGGAAAAGCCTTTGACAAAATTTAACAACCCTTCATGATAAGTGCTCTGAAGATTCCAGGAGTACAAGAAACATATCAACATATTAAGAGTTATATGCAAAAAACTATGCCTGATAGTACTAAAAGAGAAATGGTATTTCTTCTAAATTCAGGAATGAAACAAGAACAGCCACTTTCATTCCTATTCAATATAGTGCTCAAAGAATTTATAAATTGTTATTATTATTTGTGACAGTATCTCACTACTGGCCTGGAACTCACTACTTAGACCAGGCTGGCCTCTTGTTCCAGAGCTTGAAATATTAATAGAGCAATAAAACAAGGGAAGAGAAAGAAATCAAAGAGATACAAAGGAAGAGGTCAAAGTATTCTTATTTGCATGACATGATCCTATGCTTGAAATATTCTTAATGAATGACTCTACCAAAAACCTCTTAGAAACTAATAAGTACTTACAGTAAAGGAAATAATCATCAGAGTGAAGAGATAGCTTAATAGTAAAAAATTCTTTACTAAGTACATCAAACATGGACATCTAAAGTATATAAAGAACTGTAGTATCAAACACCGAAACACCAAATCCAACCAACAAATGACTAATGAACTGAACAGACACTTCTCAAAAGAACAAACACGATTGGAGAAATAAATATTTGGAAATTCATCAAAAAGTTTGGAAATTAAGGCTGCGTTGTGAGTTTAGCTTTCCTCAGTACGAATGGCTATCACCAAGAAAACAAATAAGACAAATGCTGGCAAAGGTGTGGGTGTGGGGCAGGAGTACTAACTCACTGTTGGTGAGAGTATCAAATGGTGCAGCCATTTTGGAAATGCGTATGGAGTGTTTTCAGAAAAGCAAGAACATAAATAGCATATGTCTTAGCTATAGTACTATTTGTTGTATGTCAGCAAGACTGTAAATGACCATAGCACAGAGGAATTGCTCATCTATGGCGATGGCTACATTATTGACAGGAGTTAAAAAAATGGAACTATTCTGAGGGTCATCAACTGATGAGTGGTTAAAGAAGACATATTACTAAGAAAACAGCCCATGGAATCAACTCACCAGGGTTCATAGGGGCTCACAGAGACTGAGCCAAAAATCAGGGAGCCTGCATGGGTCTGACTTAGGTCCTCTGTATACACATTACAGTTGTGTAGCTTAGTGTTTTTTTTTTTTTTTTTGGAACACTGAACAGTGGGAGCGGGGGCTGTGTCTGACTCTTTTGTCTGCTTTTGGTCCCCTTTCCCGCCTGCTTGGTTGCCTCATCCAGCCTTGATATGAGGGGAGGTACCTAGTCTTATTGCAACATGATATGCCATGTTTGGTTGATATCCCTGGGGGGGGGCTGCCCTTTACTGAAGGGAAATGGAAGAGGATCTAAAGTGTAGGGGTCGGGGGAGGGCCGGGAAGGACTGGAGGAAGAAAGAAACTGTGGTTGGGATGTAATACATGTGAGAAAAATAAATAAAAAGAAAATATGTTACACATACAATGAGATTTTATTTAGCCATAAAAAAACCAAGGAATCATGACATTTTTAGGAACAGGACTGGAACTAGAGATCATTTTCTAAGTGAAATGAGCCAGCATATGAATAAAAAAATATCACATTTTTTCTCAGAATCTAGGTTTAAATGTGTGTGTGTGTAAGAGAGAGAGAGAAAGAGAGAGAGAGAGAAAGGAGAGGAGAGGAGAGGGAGAAAAAAGATAGAGGGAGAGGGAGAAGAGAGGGAGAGAGAGAGAGAGAGAGAGGAGAGGAGAGAGGGGAGAAAGAGGGAGGAGGCCATGAGAAAAGATCAAGTTGAGCGGGAGCAGCTGGGGTTGGGGCGAAGGTGACTTAGATGTCATATAGAAGCTGACAGGAACTAAGTGCTGAAACTGAGGCTACAAGAAGGATAGAGCAGAAGGTGGCTGCGGGGAAGGAGGATGAATGAGAACTTACTGGCATACATGCATAAAAATACCACCATGAAACAAGTTACGTTATGTGCTAGCTTAAGAAAATGGATAAAAATAGTGTCTTTATGTTTTCATAGGTTATACAGTTCTCAGCAAAGGGTCTTACTTCTTTTCCCATTTGGAGGTAAAAAGTGTACTTTCTATCTCTGTGTTTCCAGTTGACATTACTAAATCTGGGAAACAACCGTTTAGAAGAACTTCCTGAAGAGATGAAAGGGCTTACCTCCCTGAAGAGGCTCCATTTATTTGGAAACAAGATTTGTAGAATTGCCACTGGAGTCTTTGGTACGTTAGCTAAGGGTTATAGCATTTTCTTTTACCCTTTGTGTTTAGCAATTTGACATAGAAAAAGAAGTTCATTGTGCTGAAATTAAGGAATTTCTAAAGCAACACTTACTATTTTAAATTTATTATATTACTTTATTTTATTTTGGCTTTTTGTTTAATTTATTTTATTTATTTTTATTAATTATTTATTTTGTTTTTTTTAAGACAGGGTTTGGTTTTTAAGACAGTCCTGAAAGTCCTGGAACTTGCTTTGTAGACCAGGATAGCCTTGAACTCACAGAGATCCACCTGTTTCTGCCTCCCTACTGCCTACTCCCTACTGCTTAAAGATGTGCACCACTATGCCCAGCACTTTTATTTTTTAATACATTTTTTATTACTATTTTATTTACATTAGTGACCTGCCTCCACATCTGTGTGAGGGCGTTGGATCCCCTGGAACTGGAATTACAGACTGTTGTGAACTGCCATGTGGATGCTAGGATTTGAACCTGGGTCCTTTGGAAGAGTAGCCAGTGTGTTTAAGCATGGAGCCGTCTCTCCAGCTCCAGCACTTGTAATTTTTTAAAACAGTGTTTGAGAATTTTATACATGAATAAAATGTAGTTTGATCAAATCCATCCTCTGCACCCTCTCCTCCAACCCCTGTGTTTTATAACCACATCCCCACTGAGCAGAGCAGATTGACCAAGGTCACAAATCTATTCCAACACTAAGTCATGCATAAGCTTTCTTTCTCTAGAATTGTGATAGACTACAATGGTTTAACTTTTTTTTTTTTTTTCCTGAGAAAAGTCACACAGCAGGAGACAAAACAGACTCACAGGATATCTAGTTCATAAGTAAGCTGTTTCTATTTTGTTGGTCTTTTTAATATTTTGAAGTGGGTGGGGAAAGCAGTTTGTTTCAAATAAAGATTAAGCCAAAATGTAGTTTCATTCCTAAACTGTAAGAGTTTCCAGGAGCTGCTTTCACATCCTCTGGATGAGGAAGCTTAGGAATGTCATGATTTAGTGGAGGAATTTTTGAAGGAGAACTCTGTCATAGCTGTGACAGGAGTTGTGGGGTAGCTACACATGAATGGAAAATAGAGCTAGAAGGTTCAAAAGAAAGAAAGGTGTGGCAAGACAGAGGCAGAGAGGCTATGCGCTGTGTAAATTCCATTCTTGGTTCTGTTTTTCAGTGCTTAGGTCCAGTTTGTGGTGAGCCTGGTTCTGTTCTTTGTCCTCAGATGCTGTGACTTAGCTTTGTAACTATGTGATGCATTTCCTCCTTTTGCCTTAACTAGTTTACGAGATTATTTGTCTTCAGCAACCAACAGAACCTTGGCCAAGGCGAGAATCCAAAAGGAATTCAAAGGAGTATAGAAAGGCTAAAACTTACTCCCCACCAGATGGCTAAAGTGACAAATTACTTTCTAACAGATGGCTTGCAAGAGCTGATGATGCTCAATCTGAATGACAATCGGCTCACGAGTCTTCCTCAAGAAGTTGGCAGGTAATTTCATTTATAGTGAGGCTTGGTTAAACATTACATTCCTCTTCTTGCCCAAACTCTGTCCCATTCATCAGAGGGTATTAAGCCTGGCATTAGAAGTCAGGGTGGTCACAAATAGTACAGGCGGATGAGAAGAGTGAAGCAAGCACTGAAGTTTTATTCTTTCTCTTTTGTGTGTACGTGGTTGTGCGTGTGTGGAGACGTGAGTGGTAGCATGTGTAGAGAGCACAAGGTGACGTTGGGGTGGCTCCCTCAGTCACTTCCCACTTAGTTTGTTGAGACAGCATCTCTCACTGGACTTAGAGCTCACCCTTTGGGCTTGACAAGGTGGCAGCAAGGCCCAGGGGTCTGCCTATCTCTGGCCCCTAGCTCTGCGATTACCAACATGCGCCTCCATTCCCGGCTGGAGTCAGGTCCTCACGCTTGCACAACAAGCATTTTCACCAACAGAGCCATCCCTCAGTCACTGAGTTTAAACTACTTGAGAGAAATAAGAAACAGCAGGAAATGTAAAAGTTGGGGTTTGAAACGTAAGCTCCTAAATCTGATGTTATTGATATGCTAGTTTAGGAGTTGGAACCTGCTCAGACACAGATTGGGGACATTAAATTTTAACCTCACTAGTGTCATAAACCATTTTGAACTTGATGGTAAAAGATCATATAAAAGCAAGGGATTTAAAATTACGATGCCATTTTCATTAAATAAATAAATAAAAACCGGCACATTTTATTATCATTAGCAACAACCAAAATACGTTGTTTTCCTTTACCCTGCCCATCTGTCACTATAGTGTTTCTCTAGAGCCAGCTGAAGGCCGCGCCGCTCTGATGTGGTACACACGCTTGAGCTTTCACTCTGATAGATGGCGAGAACTCTGCTCCCCTGTCCTTTGGAGACTCTTTGTTGCCTACTGAACAGAAACATGCATCACAAAGCAAGAGCCACTAGAGGCTTCAAAGCAAGCCTCTTCGTAGAGCCTAATCTGTTGCAATTCACTTGTGTATACCTCTTTCTGTAACTGGATGGTTTCTCTATGCCTGCCCTTGCTCTGAATAATGCCGCGGACACCTTTATATTTATCATCAGCTGTAGGTACTACACCTGGGCAGATAGGCAGCTATTCTAACCCGACAATACCGGCCCAGTCTCTGTCCCTCCAGGTGGCCTGTTACCTGCCATGCTACATTTGTCCAGGCACCCGCTTCTTCATTCTTTATCTGCATCCTGACAGTGACTCTCCTCTCTCTGCACCTGATATAGCCTCTCGCTGGGCTAGGAAGTGGAACCTTCCTCCTCTGCCCAGCTATTGGCTGTTCAACTCTTTATTTAACCAATCAAGAGGTAATGGAAAACAATGTTTACAAAATACTGAGGCGGAGGATGCTCTATAGTAATGACAATACCAAAATCGTATCTCTGCCGGCACAGAAATCGGCATTTGAATAAAACAGAGACAATCTTTACACGGTGCACAAAGAATTACTCCGACATTTTTCCACATGCTTTTACAGAGAATGAAGAGTTTTAAGTGGAAGAATTAAGAAAAAAAAATTGGAGCAATCTAATTTCTGTGGAAGAGAAATACTTAGGATAATTAAAATGTCCGGTAGTTGCTTGCTTGCTCACTTTTCCAGTTTTGATTTATCAGTCAGTTGGTACTGGTGATGGTACAGCGAACAGAAAAATGTTGAATAGATCTGGTGGATCAGGTTCAGGATATATTTTGTTCAACTAGCCTTATGACCTTAGACCAACTAGCTAACTGCCTTAGATCTCACTTCCTTCCCCTTTAAGTGGGAGAATTTTGAGTGGCTGAACCTCAAAGCACTTGTGATGATGATATGATTTTCCAGTTTGAGAAACTGTCTGTTTGGAGTGTTTTAAGCAGCACATAGATGGAGGGTGATACACAAGAAAATAAAGGACAGCTTTCATTAGAAAAAGTAGGATCACAGATCTGTAGTTTCTTATAGCTAGTTCTAGGCTGACTATATTCTGATCTGGCTGTGGATATAAGCTAATTGGTGATCTTTTCAAGTGGAATTTCACTTCCTCATCTTAGAGGAGTTTATTTTATTTAAAAGGTTTTAATTTTATTTTAAAATCGTATTTATATGTATTTATATATAATATAAATAAATATATAAAATTATATATAATATATATATATAGTGGTATGTTTAGAGAACACAGCCCAACATTGGGATGATTGTGTGTCTATGTGTGGATGCTTGTTATGTGAGTTACATGTGCTTGGGGAAGCAAGGAACCAAAAAATGGGATTCTTTGAAGCTGGAGTTACAGGAAGTTGTGAGCTGTCTAGTGTTGGCTGTTGGGTAACAGATTTGGCCACCTGCAAGAGCAGTGTGTGAGTCTTAACTGCTGAGCTCCGCTTTTCTAGCTCCAGCGGGAGAAATTTCTCTATCTTCCCATAGCTCAGGGGTTCCCATCTTTACAAAGAGGGGGCGATAATATTATTTATTTTATAAGGTGGTTTTGTGGCTCAATAGTATCTATAAAGACCTTTTAAAGATTCAGTAAGTTTTTGGGATGTGGAGAGATGGCTCAGTAATTAAGATTGCTTTCCTGCTTTTGCAGAAGACCTGAGTTCCTACCCCAGCACCCATAACTAGCAGCTCACGAACACCTGTAACTTTAGTCCAGGTGATTTGCCTCCTTCTGATCTTGTGGGTTCTCAAATGCATATAGGACACAAACAGACAGTCAAGATATACACGTGTGTGTACATGTCCACGTGCTCCACCTGAGTGTGTGTGTGTGTGAAGGAGTTTTCTCACACACACTAAAGTGAATAAATTCTACAAAGGAAATGAGAAAAAAAGAGAGTAAATTCTCAGTAAGATTTTCATTATTATTATTATGAGTCGATTTTTATTCTAGCTGTTTTATGTTCTTCACACTCATCCCTTCCAGAAAGCAAGCAGCTGCTTGAGCAGGAAAGGTTGTGAATTAGTGAGCTTAATTAGGAGGGCGAGGAGGGACCATGTCAGCTCTGTGTGGATGCCTGTCTTCTGTCCACCTGTCTGTCTTCTCAGTTTGTTCAGAACCCGGGAGGGTAGAGATGAATTTGTTGGTTAAGATAGCGTAAGCTTCACAGCTCATGGTCTCCGGTCTGTATAACTGCGCTGGGAGCGGTAATGCCCAGCTGCACACAGTAGGCGCTTCCGCAGACAGACTCTCTGAAACACAGTGCGAGTGAGGAAGGATCAGACTTATCTGTCCACATTTGCCACCCCGTGAAGCTGTTAAGCTCCTCTATGGAGGAGAAAGGGATCAAGGAGAAGCTTCAAGTGGAATCCTCCTCGGGACTGAAAGGTGGCTCTTCCTGCTTGGAGGGGAAGGTTGGTAGACTCTGATTTCGCCCCTCTTTTCCTAACCAAAACACACAGCTTCAGTTCTGCTTCTTCATAGTGCACAGGCCGTTCCCTTCTCTTTCTCTCCCATGTCTCCGTCACACACTTGTTCATTGTAGTGCTGCTTGCCCTGGCTTGGCTGGGGGCCTATGGTCTCTGGCTGTCTTCTGCCCCACCCTGCCTTCATTTTGTTTATTTTTATTCTTTTGAGATTAAATTATGATTACATTTCCCACTTTCCTTTCCTCCACCCAAACCTTCCCATTACACCTTTCCTTGTTTTCTCAAATTCATGGCTTATTTTTTCATTAATTGTCGTTACATACATATATGTATATTATAAATTTATTCCTAAATACAAACTGCTCATCCTATATAGTATTAGGTATATGTGTGTCTGTTTTCAAAGCTGGCCATCTGGTGTTGGAGAACCGGCTGATGTGCTCAGCTTCTTTGTTTCTGCTGGTCAACCCCGTTGCTTTCTCTCCAGCCCTCAACTCCCATCGTTTCTCTTGTATGTAGCTTTTCTTCCTTTCTTAGTTCCTTGAAAATTATCTTCTGCCCTCAATTCTACCTTACATGATTTCCAAAGGTCAATAATATCATGTAGATAGCCTAATTGTTGAGGTTTTCTGCTGAGTATATTCATAGGATCCATGAATCTACAATCCAGAGAGTTATCACAAGTCTGTTCATGCTAACAGTACTCTGGATACTTCAAACAACCCAGGAGATTCCTCAGTCCCCTTGTAGGCTTCCTTACCTCTCACAAGCAACTGATTAACAAATTAGTTTATATATGTTTTAGAAAAAATTTAATGGAGTTATAGAGCATATACACATTTTTATTTTATAATAACATATTTATTAATTATAAAAAATGTTCCTTACCACTGAGCCATCTCCAGCCCTTGTGTGTACATGCTTCTGTCCTATATTGCTTAGCGTATGTATTTTAGGTTTACCTCATTGTTGGAATTATTATTTTCCATTTCTCCTAACTAGAATTTTATTGCAAAGAAGTATGAAAAATCATTTCTATTTTTTCCTGTTTATTGACCTTTGCATTGTTTCTAGTTTGGCCAAAGAATTACTCTATGCCAAACACTTGTGTACAAGTCTTTTTTTGTGGGCATATGTTTAATTCTCGCTCCAATTATTCAAAATTGTGGAATTTTAGAGCCCTAAAAATATATAAAAATATATATATATATAAGTGATCATATATATGTCACTTTTAAAGCCATCTTTCCGCAAAGCCGATGATGCTGCGATCTCACATTCCAATCAGCCATTTAAGTTTTCTGTGTTCAAGTGGGGATGAAATCTCACGGAGTCTTGCTTTACATGTCACCACTGTCTGACGACGCTAAATACCTTCTCATGTTGACACTCATCGTTTATATAACTCCCCCCCATTTTCCAGTATGTCCATATTTTATTTTATTTATTTTGAAAATATTTTTCTTATTTTTTGAAATTAAAATATAATCACATTATTTTATTCTTTCTTCTTTCAATTTTTCCCATTATCCCACTTTGCTCTCTCCCAAATTCATGCACTCTTTTCTTTAAGTGTTGCTACATATTTGTGTGTGTGTGTGTGTGTGTGTGTGTCTTCAGTCCTAGAGTGTTTGTTTCCAGCATGTTGTTCATTAGAAGTCGTATTGCTTCTTTGTTAGATAGTTGTAAGCATTCTTTGTGTATTCTGAGTACAGGTGTTTTGACAAGTATATGCACTACAGATAGTTCTTCCTAGCCATAGCTTATCTTAATATACATTAACGTATATATATTCACACATGCATATATATGATTATTGGTCTTTGTGTGCTTTCAAGAAGTCTTTGCTTATGCCAAAGCTATCAAAAAAGTATGCTGTATTGTCTTTCAGAAAAAGCATAGTTTTAGTTTCTGTTTGGATCTATAATCTATAACTGTTTGTACATTAGAGGCAATAGCTAGTGTCATTTTACCCCCAACGCTTTATTCAGCCGCTCAGAGCTCTGTTCAAAGACCATGCTTTGTTAGTTGAATTGCCTTGACACCTTTGGCAATAAAATAAAATAAAATAAATCAATTTTATGGGTTCATTCTCATTTGTGTGTCTATTTCTCTCTGTTAGTCTGTTTGGGCTGCCATAACAACACATCACAAAGCTGGGAAATCTATTTCAAAGTGCTGGCAGATGCTATATCTGCTATAAACTGACTCATAGAGAGTTCTTTTTTTTTTTTTCCCATGTGTCCTTATAGGGTAGAATAAGCAAGATCCTTTGGGGGGCTTCTATGCTCAAGGTGATAATATCATTTAAGAAGAATGCCACCCTCATGGCTTAATCACCCCCCAACTACCTAACTTCATAGTTCAATACACTGGCAATTAGACCACCTCATGAGTCTGTGGACTGAGGGAACAAACCTTCAAGTCCCAGCTTCGCTTCTCTAACACCAAGACACTGTAACTGTGCTGTCGGATGTGACTCAAGTATTGTGACATTCTTTTTCAGTGCTTTGTTCTTTTTAATATGAATTTTTGGCTGTTGATTCTTTAAATTTCTATGTACATTTTAAAATTATTTCTTAACTTCTATCAAAAAATTAAGAGGTTTAAAATTTTTTGGATCTACATGCATATATCGGTATTATACGCATTTATTTTCTTCATATGAGCTTGATATATTTTTTAAATTGGTGCCTCTTATATGTCCTCAGGTCTCTCATGTGTTTTGTGAACTATTTCCTTATTTTATATACTTTTTATTGGTATGTCATTATAAATGGCATTTCTTTTTTGCATTTAGGTTTTTAAAAATCATTATTATTTTTTTATTAATTACAGTTTATTCACTTTGTATCCCACCTGTAGCTTCTTCCTTCCTCCCCTCCCTATCCTGCTCTCCCTTCCTCTTCTCCATGCATGCCCCTCCTCCAGTCCACTGATAGGGGAGTCTTCCTCTCTTTCCTTCTGACCCTAGTCTATCAGGTCTCATCAGGACTGGCTGCATTGTCCTCCTCTGTGGCCTTGTAAGGCTGCTTCTCCCTCAGGGGGAGGTGATCAAAGAGCAGGCCAATCAGTTCATGTCAGAGATAGTCTAATTTTAGTGTTTTAGAAGTTTTAAAATATGGGTCTATTTTTGAAGGGGCCAGAGTTTTTTGTTTGATTTGTTGTTTGTTTGTTTTTTTGTTTTGTTTTGTTTTGAGACAGGGTTTCTCTATGTGTAGCTAGCTGTTCTGGACTCTCTTTGTAGACCAGGCTGGCTTTGAACTTACAGAGATCACCTGCCACTGCCTCTGGAGTGCTGGGGTTAAGGGTGTGTGCTACCATCCTCCGATAGGGGCCAGAGTTTTAAATCATGAGCAATCTCATGGCTAAACAGTTACTAACAATATTTTATTAACTTACAGTGAATTATGTTTGATTTTAGATTTCTTTCAAAAAACATTTGGTTTTCTTGTTTTTCTCCCTGACCTTTCCCCTATTTTTTTGTCCTCTCACATGCCTTTCCACCCCAGTACATTTTCTGTCTTCACTCTCTGCCTCTTCCCAAGTCTCCTTTTACTGTGATGTGCAAAAGGGCAGAATGTGTGGCCTATCATCTTTTCATCTTCTGTATTACAGCTCTTTGCCACTCTTTTTGTACTATATTTTTCCTACCTCTGTGCTTAGACCTGTATAGTTATGTATATGTCCTTCCTCATCCTCAAGCTTTCTTTCTCATATGGCCAATATGCATTTATTAGGAATGAGTATAGAATTCTCTCTCTCTTTCCCTTTTATTTTATTGTTGTTGTTGAGACAGGGTCTTGATATGTGGCCTTGGCTTACCTGGAATTCACTATGTGGACCAGGCAGTCCTCGAACCAATAGGGGTCCATTTGCCTCTGCCTCCCAGGGTTAGGATTACAGGCATGTACCACCATAGTTGGCAGAATTCTCTTTTCCTTAAATCTAGATATTGCATAACTCTCATTATAAATTATTTTTGAAAACTAAGTTCCATTAAAGACCTTTCATGAGCAAAAGAGTCACAGTAGTTCCAAACATTTGACACAGTAAGATTCAAAGGGACTCTAGGAAAATGAGAAAGAAAGCTAGCGACACTTGACTAATGGACTGTCTTTGTCTGATGGGTTTGAGTCACATACTTTGCCTGTTTGTTGTTTTAGGTTAAAGAAACTTACCCACCTAAGCCTCAACCATAACCAGCTCACCACTATCCCTGAGGAGCTCTTTTCCCTCAGGCATCTTTCTGAACTGCATCTCAACTATAATCAGCTCATGTGTATCCCTGAAGAGATTAAGTTGTTACAGAATCTCCAGCAGCTTTCTGTGGTCAGGAACAACCTTGAAAGTTTGCCAGAGGTAAAGAAAAAAGGACTGCACATTTTTGTTATCCTTTCTGTTGGAGAAAAGCTCGTTCATCATGATGGGAGGTGGTTATGAGCTAGACTATATCTTTCTCTTTGGCCTACATTATACATGATAAAGTACTTCAACATTCATTTGTTTTCATAAAGAAAAAGGTATGAATCACTAATACACTATGAATCTTGTGTATGTCTATATGTGTGTATGAATGTATATTTTCTGTTTATATTTTTTGTCACACTCTCTATGGGCTCTGTTTTAATTTTCCTAAAGAGGTCTGGGGGACAGGAAAAGAGCCCTATTAGTACAAGATGAACCTAGGACTTCTGGAGTACAGTCTTATCATAAACACTGTGTTTGTGACAGTTAAAATCAGAGAATAACCTCTTTGGATTTGAGTTCGTGTACAGATAGGGAAAAGAATGAACAGAAACAGAACGAGGCAGCTTTGAGTGTTGCAGAGAAAACTTGAATTTAGTTTTAAGAATGTGCTTTCATGAAACTGATCCAATAGATGGAAGTGCATATTGGGACAATTACTACTTAGGAAATACATTTGAATCCTATACTCAAATATAGATAAATATTTCTTGCTACTGCGGAAATAGGGCTGAGAGGTCTGCGAGCCAGTCATAATGACACCAGCATTTAAAAGTCAACCAAGAATTTTATAAAAAAAAGGCCTGCCATTTAGAAACTGGCGTGAGAATGCTAGCATGTGGACTAATTTTTCACTTCCCAAAGCATTCCACTAAATGCATATGTCCAATGGACAAGTCCCGCGGCCAAGTTTCTTAACTTCATTAAGGTACAGTTTCCTGAGTCGATGCCTTGGCAGTTACCTTGGCCATAGTGGACAAATGAAAATTGTTAAGAATTTCAGTGTAATTCATGCTTTCCTTAGTCATAAGGAATGCTAACCTTTAGCATCGTGCCTACTGTGTAGTTGGATATGTTTGCTTTTCTCTGTCTAGCATCCATTTCTTTTTGTTTTCATACTCATTCTGTGTAATAGTCTTCTAAATTTCTTTCCCGTGTTTGCCTCTGTTAGTTAGTGTTGTCTTGTCCCACTACTCATGTCATCTAGACAAATCAGAATATTCCTTCACACTGGACATTAGACTCAAGCTAGGTAAATGGGATAAGGTTGATGGATTGATGGGGATAAATGTAGTCTTTCTACTGCTAAACAGGAAGAATAAAAACCCACATCTAGGGGCTGGGGAGATGGCTCAGTGATTCAGAGCACTTAATGCTCTTACAGATGACCCAGGTTCAATATCTATCAAACATTATCTATCTATCTATCTATCTATCTATCTATCTATCTATCTATCTATCTAT